ATAATTTACGGTACTTAAACCATTCATATGGTAACAGTTTCCGTTCACGTGGGAACGGCCTACGGGAAATTGGGTGCAGGACCGGTGTGGTGGTGCATTACGCAGCTGTTCAGCATCCTCTCTCCACGGTGTCTCCAGACTCGAAGGCATCCATCGTGGTGTTGCAGACAGAAGCGTGACTCGTCAGTGAAGACAATTTCATTCCATTCTGTCGTCCACATCCTTCTTTCATTGCACCATTGGCGGCGGAGACGTCTATGGTTCTGCGTCAAGGGTAGACGAAGCAATGGACGTCTTGCGGACAGACCACTCTGCTGTAAGCGGCGTCGAATGATACGCGCAGGCACTGGATGATGCGTTACAGACTGAGTGTGCTGTGCTATGGTTTGTGATGTGACTGAACGATGAGTCACTGCCATGCGCACAATTCGCCTGTCCTCACGTGAAGTGGTGCACTGAGGTGGATGCAATCGAACACGTCGTCCGTCGTACCATCCTGCATCCAACGATCACATATCCGCATTACAGTTGTTTGGTTTCGTCCAACACGACTACTGATTTCCCTGAAAAACCACAATTGCCGAACTTGAAATCGTCGAAATCTCCAAGCCTTAAATAGCACTTTGAAGTAGAACCACAGAGTCTGCCTCCAAGCCTTATCACCAATTCGTTCTTTTAAATTATTCTCATAGTTCTTATTGACGTTATTTTTAATTATTCTATTTATAGAAGAATAAGATATTTCTCTCTAGAAGCACTGCAAGATTCTAGCTCCTTTTTTTATCTAGGACATCAGCCATTTCATTTCCATATGATATTTAAAAGTAGTATTGCTTAGTATTATAAGCAGTAATAGGTTAGAAGTGGCTTCCTAATCTCAGACAAGATAGAATTCCAGTATTTAATATGTTTATTTTTGGATTGACTACACTATCGGTAGGAATATTTTCAAAACAAATGATATGACATAGTTAAATATAAAAGACCTTTGAAGTCAGTGTTTCAATTTTCTTCTTGCTTTTTCAAGGTATCTTTTTTGCTTTTTCAATTGTATCAATCAAATATGGAATTGACTATGCAAAACTTGACCGCTACTTCATCTTGTTATAATTTATCCAGTCTGATTCCAGTTCATCTATCCAAATGGGGTAAGTAATATAACGTAATCAAATACACTAGATTATTCGAATCAAGGAAAACATAATTTTAAAAGTTCTATTTAGCTTATCCATATTTACCTCTAGCTTCTTTTAAAGTAGTAATTGTATTATCAATAGATCAAGCATAAAATTGGCCTTTCAGACCTAGACCATTACTTCGTCCTGATCATCATTTGTTCTATCCAGTTACAGTCTATTTATGAAGTCCAGTTCCAGTTCATTTATCAAGTCCAATTCCAGTTCATTTATCAAGTTCAACTCCAATCTATTTAACAAGCCCAATTTCAGACTATTTAAAAAGTCCAGTTTAAGTTTATTTATCAAGTTCAGCTCCAGTTTATTTATCAAGTCCGATTCCAATCTATTTAACGAGTCCAGTTCTAGTTCATTTATTCAAGTCCAGGTAAACAGTTTAACAAAATTTCATACAACACGCTCTTCAAGTGAAGAAAAACAAGATGTTTAACTACAGTACACTCTCGATTATCCGTGCGTGGATTATCCGGTTTGCGGATTATCCGTGCTCATTTCAGAGTCACACAAAAAATTTAAAGAGAAATATTTTCAAGATTAAAAAAATTTGATTCATGAAGTTATCACACTACCAAAGTTTTCGAAGCTATATTCGTTATTGGATTGCAGTATATGGAATATCAGCAGCATGGTCAAAGGTAAAATCGTCTACGTTATCACGATCGTGAAGAAAGATCATACCGCTTGATGAATAATCTTCTTCAGATATTCAAGAAGAATATAAAAGCAGTATTCTTTTACAAGTCTTTATTTTACAAGTCTTTTACAAGTTATTCTTTTGAAATCTAAGGTTTCGAAATTCTTGATGAAGAAAATTTAGAAGATTGGTTTCAAAGTGTGAACCTGGCTTCCACTATTTGACAGATGAAGACATCGTTACTTGTTGTTTTTGTTGTTGTGATTTATCCTCCAAATGCCCGGCAAAGTCAAACAAGGTCCATCAGATCGCCGACCCTAAGAAAAATCGAGGACCAGAAGGGGGGATGAGTATATTCATTACGTGTTAAATCAAATAGTGATGATAGTAACTGATGCAGAAGATGTTGTAAATGAAGGAAATACAATTTATGCTGCTCAATCTATGGAAACTTTATTAGATTTTATATGGGAGGATTTGATTACGGTGACATTACTACGGTTCGTAAAATATGTGTTAATATATATGGCGCATTACACATTTTTTTAAGCAGCGAATGTTAAAAGGAAAATTCCTAGTTTGATGTTATACAGCGATTTATATAGCAACAGTAATTTTTATATTTTTTATACTGATATTGATTTTTCTTTAATAAAAAGGAGTTTTCGGATTATCCGTGTTTTTCGATTGTCCGTGTGACCTGTCCCGGTGATTAACCCGGATAATCGGGAGTGCACTGTATTCGTATTTTACTCTAGACCTTTTCTAAGTAGTAATCAATAAATCTAGAATGAAATCAACCATTCAGAACATGGCCGTTCCAAACCAGTTCCAGTCTATTTATCAAGTCCAGTTCCAGTTCATTCATAAAATTCAGGTAAGCAATGTAACATTGCTTAATACACACACAGGAAAGTAAGATGTTTAACCCTTCATATCTTTCCCTAACTTTTCAGCGTGGTAATTGCATCGTTAATCAATATGGATCAAATATGTAATCGGCTAACTGGAATTTAACCAATATTTCCTCTTGATCATAATTTATCCAAACAGGTAATCTTTGATCTCACTTATTGCAATGGTATCCATACGATCTCCCTTCTTGCATCTTTAGTTTAAGAGTAAGTCATATAAGTAGATTCTTTCCCCATGCATTTATTTGATGTCTTGGTAAGAGCCCGAAACTTTTTTTTTCATTTCCTTTTGAAGCACAGACAAAATTTTATAATTATCGCTTGGATAAAGTGGCTTTAGAATTAACCTTTTTGTCACAATCTGGTACTGTTGATACACTTTTTGTGTTTCTCTAAAGAAATATTCAAATAAATGTGAGAAAATTATCTAACTACGTGACAGAATTTAGCTTCGATCTAGAAATAAAAATATTTTTTTAATGAATTACCTATAAAAGTCTGCTATCTGGTGAATGTCTGACGATGGTTAATGGCCATGATGTTTGTTGTATAAATTTACTTTCACTAGCAAATATTGAAGTTCTGCAGGGTGAATTTTAAAAAAGTGGCTTCAGAACTAACCTTTTTGACTTAAGCCACGGTTGAGACACTTCACTGGCAAATATTGAAGTTCTGCATGGTGAATTTTAAAAAAGTGGCTTTAGAATTAATCTTTTTGTCTTAAGCCACAGTTGAGACACTTTTTGTGTTTCTCTAAAGAAATATTTAATCAAATGTGAGAAAATTATGCTAACTATGTGGCAGAATTTAGTTTCGATCTAGAAATAAAAAAACATTTTTAATGAAATACCTATGAAAGTCTGTTATCTGGTGAATGTTTGATAATAGTTTATGACCACGAATAAAAATACTTTCACCGGGAAATATGGAAATTCTGCATGGTAAATGTTAATTTAAAAAAAAGTCCCATTTTCCACTTATTTACAGTTTTCTAACATTTTTCACAACAGAAAATATATGTGCAGTGCGCAAAGTTAAGAAAAAAAAGACCACCCTGAATAACTTTTGATCTAATGATTGGATCTTTAATTTGCGGATCTTCTTGAACTCAATCTTAATGATTCAAGAGGGTGACCTTAATTATGCTAACTAATTAGTACAAACGATATTTTAAATTGCGAAATCAGACACAAAGTGTACTCTCTGAATAAATATACCTTTTTTTACCTACAGGTTTGGATTTCTGGCCCCCAAAATATAGAAGGCAGCCGCAATCTGGGAAATATGTTCCCAATAGTTTGATCAGGAGAAACTACAAAGTTTGGACAAAAGTAAATTTTACTTATTGCTTATTTCGCTATATTTCGAGAACTTTTTAAGCGAATAGAAATTTTTTTTTGCACACAATAATAAAATTGGTTTATCCAACGAAAATTCCGTGCAAAAAATAACTTGTAATAAATATTTTTTTTTATTTATAATTGTCAAAACAATTTTGAACGGTAAGGTGACATTAGCTCTTAGATTAACAGCATCATTATCCTAATCTGATCTTTCTTTACGTTCATCCGATTCTTTAGAAAATGCACGTAAACCGTCATTCTCATCCCTTTATGCGATTTCTTTTCGCAAACGAGAAAAACGGTCATATTTTTGCACGGAGTTAGGGAAGTCTCTAAATGGAAAATTATTAAAAAATTCATTAAAAATTTAATTTTTAACTTCTCACACTGCATCCGATTGCTGTAAACGCGGGTGCAAATATTTGGAAACTACGTGTATAGGATAGGAGATGCGATTTGGAAATGCGAAAGAGAACCTGATTGGTGAAATATATTTTACCGCTAAAAACTGAATCAGGTTCTCTCCAAAAACGCATTTGTGATTTTTTTTCTTCTTTTCATATGTGGTGAGAATTTACTTTTAGGGAGCATTCTAACTGCATGCGGTTGCTCCACTTCCGATAGCCGTCGAGAGAGGGGGAAAATGGAACATGTTTGATTATAGAAAATTTATTATAGAAATATAAACATTATAGAAAATATATTTCACCAAGCAGGTTTTCATATACCCAGGACAGTGATCGGAGGATCATGGACTGCCTTCAGTGGCAGTAGCCATTATTAGAAACTACCTTCACATGCATGAACGCATAATTGCATATACGAGTCGCATTCAGCGTCACATGTAAGCGCGGTTAAGAATCTCATTGGTGCAGCCGACCTCATAGTCAGAATAACCGTTGACGCATGTTTGTGACTAAACAGAATTCGATAAACGACTTTTCAGTCAGAAAATACTGCACAATATTAAAAATAAAATTATTTTGAGCCATCTAAACTGTAACTGATTATTTTGCGGCTGCTTTCACGTTGTTGTGTTTTGGTTAGCGATTGGTGAGAAATTAGAAAATTATTTTTAAAGTATGTTTCTAATTTAACAAATGTATTATAAATTATTTTCAGATTTACATTAGTATTCAAGTGTTTTTAATCATATATTACTTTTTAATCTCGGTTCATTTATATTTTGTTTAATCACAATTTTCAATCTGACACCAGGCAGAAATTATCTCTTCTTTTTTTAAATGATTTAAACTTCACTTTTTCCGAGTATATTTGTTTATTAATTGCCTTACTATATACTCAAAAAATTACTAAAGTTTACATTGTCACTGAGCCTCTTTTTCAAGATACAAATATATGTAGTGTAATAGCTGCATTTCAAAATAATAATTTTTTGATTTACAAATTACAATTGAATTTGATTACAAATTATTTTTAATCATTAACATTCGTATGGCATTAATGAAAAATATATTACCTTTAATTTGGTCATTGTTAGTAATTTTGGTAAAAATTTCATATTTATTTGTATGATTGGTATATGATTGCATCATGTTAAATGTAAATACCATTACCATAATCATAAGCAATTAGACTATTGGCGATTTAATATGTTATTTTCCATCCCTGTGGCTGATTATTTTCGACCTATCTGCGACAAAACTCTCCAGCACTAATATCTTTCTGCAAGATACTTATAATAATAACAAACATATATGTTGCTAATTTAAAATAATAAAAGCGCTGTGTTTGCAACAAAAAAAAAAATAACGCGAATTGAATCGGACTCCTCAAATGGGGGTTTCCGTTTAGAGATTAAGTTGTTGTAATAAGTAAACAAATAATATCATATAAAAAATATCAGATTTAAAAACTAGGGAGAAATCATTAGCAATAACCACCAAAAATTCGGTATGATTAATGCATCAAAAAGTATATATTCAAATGCACAATGTGAAAATCAATATCAATAACTGCCGAAAATAAAATCGAAACATCGATCCTACTATCGGCGTAAATTGAGCGCATCAAAAAGTATTTATCTAAATGCATGATTCAGATATTACATGAATTTTACGGAGATTAGACTTTTTGAAAGAAAAATATTTCTGCAAGAACTCTGTAATGTTCTGCAATAATGTCGTTGCAATTCTGCCACGGGGTTTTCCATTATATTAAAGTTAACCAGATTCATAAGATATTTATTATCTAATAGTACACCTTTGATTAATGACTAGTAAATAGTAATCAGTCAATATCATGCCAATAGTTAACTTATATGAAGAAAAAAAAGTACAATACTGTTCAGAACACAATCATAAATTTTAACACCATATATTTATTGTTTGTATTATGTATAACTTATTTCAAAACTTATAATTTTTGAGGTCAATTCAGTTAAAACAAATAAATGCTTCTACTTTTTATGTCTAAAATTTACAACTTCATGTGTTGATTGCAGAAATGAAGTTTTTAGATATAATTTTAATTTCCTTTTAAAGCTCTTTATTTAGGTTCATAAACCACACCGCTTTTCCGTTGAAATACTGCCAAAACTGATAAGGTTTATACAGATAACCTTTTAAGTTATACTGCAAGTCTAGTTGCAAGATTACCTAGAGATTTTTTAAATTTGTTTACATGCTTGTTAAATTTCCAGTATCTTTAACTTTCAGGTGCATTATTGCGCATGCTGCTCAGAAAACACCCCAATGTTTTGTCAAATCTCTGTTGTGAATAACTGGCATATATTGATAACCTATTAATTTTAAAATTTACTGCAAGCTTACTTCGATTTTTTTAAAATTCTGTTATATGTCTAGTATGTTTTATATATCAGAAATTTTAGGTTTCCTTTTGCATTTTTATGTTAACATTGACAGTTTTACTTTATAAACATCGTTTATGTTCTGCCGAAGTAATAATTGCTTATTATTACTCTTAGATTAATTATGTATCTATACATATGTTTAATTTCTTGCAATAACATAATTTTAAAAAATATGGGATATTTTTGTTTTAATATTTCATATCATACTCTTAGTTTTTATACATTATATCCGATACTTATGTGTGACATTTCTTGCGGTAAAAACATGGTTCAATGAAATAAAATGAAAACTAAGATAGGTACTTCTAGTCTTGTAAAATTATACTGCTTATTTTTATTATTATACATCAAGTGTCAAACTCTATATTTACAACATTGTTAGTTTTTATGTCATATTTTGAAAAAAATATGATGGTTTAGAAAAATATATGAGTATGATGGTTTTTTTAAGTTGCTATTTGAGAGAAAGAGAAACCTTTACTAATAATAAGCAACAATTCATACTAAAAATGCTTTAATATAGGGGTGCACAACCTTTTTGAGTGAAGGGCCACTTGCACAGCAGGTTGGCTAACGAAGGGCCGCACTTGTATTTAGACATGTTAATGACAAATGTAGCAATGCTTATTTAAACATTAGCGTTCTATTATTTTTATCAATAAACTTAGAAATATCAATAACTTAGTAGTGTTCCATTATTAGAATTCATTCAAAAATAAAAAAAAAACTTATACTTTTTTTTTACAAAAAGAAAAAAAACTTGCTATTTTTATCATATGAACAATAGATTTATCAAAATAAATAAATATTGAAGAAAAGAAATATTTTTTTTTATCATATGCAATACGAAAACTCATTTTAGAATTAAATTCTAATAAATAAAAAAAAACTGCAATGCTCACAGAATGAAAGTAGGAAAAAGTTTAGTCGTAATTGAGTAATATAAATTCAAATTAAATATTTTAATTGAAGAAAATTTATAGGTTTTAAACAAAAGTCTAAAATAAAAACAAAGCTGTGATAGTTCAAGATAAAATTCAATGCTTACTTTGTAATGTACTTTATTATTTTATTTTATTAATTATTAGATTTTTTATATCGTAAACATTTTCCTTTTTTTTATCAAAAAATATCACTTAAGCAACAAAAAATTGAAATCTAAACTACAAACAGTGAGCAGTTTAAGAATTTCTCAGTCATTTTGTGAATTTCTCAAGTTGCAATAACATTGCATTTAAATTAGGGAGGGATGTAACGAGTATTTGGCCCTTCTGTGAAAAATTCAGTTGGTTGAATGATCAGTCAAATATTCGGCAGAATACTTTTAAGAAATGTATTTTTCAAAGTCTTTTTTATTTTTGAATTTTTATAGATATTACTTTTTTTTTAAAAAATTATAATCAGACAAGTCAATTTTGTAATTTTTTCGATACTTTGAGAATTGAGAAGGATTTTTTTCCATTTTTTGCTGTTTTTATTATAACCCAGAATTTTAACAGAACGTCTCATACTATTAATTTATTATCACTTTTTCCCTGTACTGTAATATAAATAACCAGTAACATAGAAAAGTGTGATTTTCAGTATTAAAGTTTTGTTTCAGGAACTAAGAAAAATTTGTTTTTTCTGTTTTTCTTTGTTTTGGGCATTTTTATTATGACTCAGCATTTTTTTTTTAAAATAAAGTTACAAATAAAATTTATTACATAACAATTTTTTTTCTTCTTAAATTATGGCAATGAGAAAAAATTAATTTGAGATTTTCGGCATAAGATTTTCATTTAAAAAGGAAAGAAATTTTTTTTTATCTTTTTATTTTTTTAAATAAAAAAAAAACTTTTTTTAGACATTTTCATTATAACGCAGTAATTTTTAATAGCATTTCTGTTGACTTAATTCTTTTTTCTTAGCTTTTTCTGGTAATTGAAAAACTGAGATGATCAGCTTTAAAAAAAAATTTAAAAAATTAAGATTGATTTTTATGTTCTCTGTTTCGCTTTTCGACATTTTCAAAAACGTTCTTGATTGGCCTTATTTTTTAGAGTTAATTTATGAATACGTTTTTCCAGGAAATATTATTCTGAGCATTAAAATTTTAGTTTCAGTGTTGCTATGCTTCTAAAAGATTTTGCTATTTGGCCCCAAGTGTACGCGTTCATTCGATTTTTTTTTCTTTTTTTTTTTTTGCAAAATATTTCGTTTTTGATCAAATCACAATTCATTACCACATTCGACCAAATCATATTCGTTGCGGAAATAAAAAAGAAGGAAAAATAACTAGGATTTACGATAAAACTGTACCGAAATACCGTATCAAAAACTGATTATTTAACTGCGCGATTAGCAATTACGTGTCGTAATAACATCATAGTTAAATAACGGGATCGTCAAAATCATGTGGAAAAGTATAGAAATAATTGGGAAAAAATATATTTATGCTGAACTCAGCATGAATAAAGCGTGTCAAATGCATGATTTAAAATTTGCATGTCGTAATAGAATAATTGGAATTTTTTATAATACGTGGGAACGCATAGCAATAACTACCGAGAAAATGTTTTGAAAAAAACTAAAGAATTGCAACAAAAAAAAAAGATAAAAAATCACTTAGATTTAAGATGAACTCGTCACAAATAAAGTGCACAAAAAGTGATTATTTGAATTTGCGATCTAAAACTCGCGTCGTAATAAAAATTCCGGAGTAATAAAATTTCTACGGATTTCGAAATCACGTAGAAAAGCGAAAATAACTGTTTAAAAAAATCATTTATATTTTTTTAAATCATTTATATTTTTTTTAAAAAATCATTACGGCTTAAAGAAAGCGCGTTATACGTACATTTACTAAAGAATCTGTTAAAATTTATAGTGTCAAAATGGGATGACTTAAAAGTGCGATTGAAAATTGCAATTTTTTAAATTTTTTTTATTATGTTTAGATGCTCTCGCGGGCCGCACTTCAGTAGTCGAAGGGCCGCATTTGGCCCGCGGGCCGCAGGTTGTGCACCCCTACTTTAATAATTTCTTTAAAAGTAATGTCTAATATTCCTAATAAATTTCTGGAGGAAAAAATATACTTTTTTATTTTAATAATTTTCCTGTATAATGCTTTTTTTTTGTATATTTATATAATTATTAAAATGTTTTGTTTGGTAGTTTTCTTTGATATTAAGAAAAAATTTGTGTTTCAGTTGCACATATTGCTAACTAATGAATTATTATTTTAATTAAAATCTAATTTTGTAACTCTTTTCATTTTTTTAAGTAATTATGCCACCCAAGAAGAAGGAAGAGCCTGAGCGACCAGCTCTTTTGGGACGTCTTGGCACTAATCTTAAAGTTGGTCTTGTAGGTTTACCTAATGTAGGGTAAGTCTAAGTCTAGTTACTGTACTATATTAAATTTATTTACAAAAATGTATTAGGAATTGAAAAAATACAATTGAGGCAGACTTTTTATTTTTTAATCTTTTGTTCACTTTTGTGCTTAAATATTAAATGTAATCAAAATCTAACTTATCTAGCCACATAACTTAGATACCCTGGTATTTATGAATTTAGTTGAGAATTAAATTTTTTTTTTTTAAATGTTATCAAATTTAATGTATTTAAAACAAAAATATATTTTGCTTACATTTATACAATTTTGTTTTTTGTTTAAGGAAACTTATGACCATGCTAATTATTATTGATTTTTTTTATTTAATTTTTCCTCATTTAAGGTAGGATTTAATCTTCCATAAAGTCACTTTTCCTGTTGCCAATTGTAATAATAAAACTAAGCTGGGAAAATACCATAAATTTTTTTCTGTAGTGCAGAAATTTATTTCAGTTTTATGTAATTTGTTTTAAGAAGCTAACCACACAAAGAAAAACTATTGTTCTTCCTGCATACAAATACACAATGCTTTCTGTGTTTCTCATTTTTTTGTATTGTCAAGTATGTTAACAATTTAAATTGGCATGAAAAATACTTATATGCTTTTCATGAGTGTTTTTAAAACTTATTAAATTTATAGTTAGAGTTTTAAAAAATGAAAAAAAGACTTGTTATGCCAGGAATAACTTAAAATATTTATTTCATACAATTTTTCTAATCTAAACTAATTACTTCTTCCGTGGATATCTAATTGAAAAATTTCCCCCCTGTCTTTAAAATGTTAGATACTTGAACTTGAACAAAAATGATTAGTATTTTTATTATTCAGTGATCAGTTTGTAACAATTAAAATCATTATTTTAGTTGGAAATTTTATCTATAGTAGCTGTAATTTACTTTAGTTGATAAAGGTAAAACGATCTGTTGCTATTATTATTATGAAGTAGAATGAATCAAGATATAAGAATATGTGATATTTTATTTCCATTTATATGTAGATTTTTTATAACATAAACCCCCGTGACAGAATTGTGGCATTGTCGCAGAATGGTACAGAGTTCTTGCAGAAAGATTTTTCCTTTGGGAAGTAAAAAATTTTGGTTTTCTTTTTTGCAGAAATTTTCGAAAGATTTTATCTTTTCTTCAGAATGATTTTCAAGAGATGCCTTTCTCATGCGTCGGAGTGGGAAAAAATGCTTGTGTTTTTTTTAATTCTCATTTGAGAATAAGGAAAAATAAAGAATAATGAAGTAAAGGTTTTCTTTTCTGTTGAAATTTTTGTTCTATTTTTTTTTTCAGTTATTGCTGTTGATTTGCCCATAGTTTTTAAAATCCAATATTTTTAATATGATATTATTTATTACAACAACTGAAATGAAAACACCCATTTAATAAGCGCTTTTTGATTAGTCTAAATCGCGCAAATTCGTCGTCAGTCTTTTTTTTTTTTTTTTCCCCCGGATGGAACTGTTGCAGATTTTAGGATTTGTTTGGTATTTTTTCCTCTTACAAAATACAAGAGTAATGCCCATAGTATTAGAATAAAAAGATATTACATATTCAATTTTTTTTTGATTTATTTTATCTGAATATTTCTTTTTTGAAATTGACACTTATGTTACTTTAAATTAGCAACATGTATATTTGTTATAATTAAAAGTATCTTTTAGAAATATATGGTACTAGGGAGGTATGTCACAGAAAGCTCAAAAAAATTCAGCCATGGGGAACATAATATATGCTAATATTTGTTTCTAGCACAGATTTAATTTAACTTGACAATGTTGAACTGTTTACAATTTAATGGAATATAATTAATTTGATTGTGAATTTTGCATATAAAATATTTCAGCACACAACAACTATTGTCGTCAATGTGTTGACTTTAGTTTAAAATAATATAGCAGGATTTTTAACATAAAAATCTGCCATAGAATAACTTTGATTGCTGATTGATTTGGTGAGTGATTAGTTGAACAAAATGTTCAGTATCTGGGTCAAAAAAGCATGATAGCTATGTTATGTATTATTTTTTTCAACAGTACCTGAAATTTCTTATCTTTAATCTGCGCATTTTATTTTGCAGCAAATCTACAATATTTAATATCTTAACATCAAGTCAAGTTGCTGCTGAAAATTTTCCATTTTGTACAATTGATCCCAATGAAAATAAGTATTTTATTTATGTTTTTAAGTTGTTGCATTTCTGTGTTTTGTTTATGTTATATAATTTAAGTTCAGATGTTACATTTCATTGAATTTACCCTATCATGAACATAAATTAAGCATAAAACTACTATTTTTTCATAGTAGGGTGACCCGGGGTAATTCACGATCACTCTGTTTCTGGGGTAAATAATGATCACCTAAGTTTTATTTTAAATAAATTATTTTTTTCTAAATTTGAGACATGAACAAGAATGCTTGTACACTTTACTAAGGTATAACTACATTTACTTAATAATAGTTTTTTGTTTAATCTAACAAAATAAGTACCTTTTAAACTGCTTTCTGTATTTTCCATTTCAAAGATGGGTTTCAAAAAGTGCACATTTCTGCAAAGATCTCCCTCCTTCTCTTAATAATAAATATTTTGAGTTACTTTCTTTTTCTTTGATATGAAAATAGTGTAAGCTCTTGTTTAATTGTGTCACATTTACTGTAAACATTATAATTGATTATAGGAAACTATATCAAATGTTGCCCCCTACAGATGGGGTAATTATTGATCACTGGGGTAATTCCTGATCATTGTCATTTCTTTTCATAAATAGTATTGAAATAAGCTAATAAATAGCTAATTGTCTTTTCTTAAGTAACAGTTCATATTTATCAAGTGGAACAAGTATAAAATACATTTTAACTCAATTTAATCACAAAATTTGTTTTTAACCGTATGCTAGACAAATGTGTACGATTTGTCTTACCTTGCTTCTATCTTAATCTTATGTGTGTACATTGTTAGAATAATTTTTAAGTTTATAAATTAGCCTAATATAAATATGGTGAGAAATTATAAGCCTGAAAAGGATACTAAGCTTCTAGAAAGCAAAATTAGTTCTAGTAATTAAAATTTCTTAATTAGTAAATTTCTTTTAATGATTTAAAATGAAAATTTCAGTGTGAGAGCGTCTGCCAGAGCTGTTAACATACCTGACTTAACTTTACACTCTCCCTTAATGAAGTTACAAAATCCAGCAAAAGTAACTCATGTGGGAACTCTTTTTTATATTTCAGCAGAACATGAGAATGAGTTGGCTGCTTGCTTAAAATGTATGGCACAATATAAAGATTTTTGGAAAATTTGAAGTGTTAACCTTTATTTTTGCTTTTTAAATAAATCGTTTTATTAGCTGCTTAAACATATATTTTTGGTTTATTTGTTTGATCTTGGTGTCTTATTTGTTAATTACCACTGTATAATTATTTTTAAACAGCCCCTTTATGATTAAAACTGGTGATCAGGAATTACCCCTAAAGGATCAAGAGAAGTGGTAATTCCTGATCACTAAAAATTTAAAATATTTTAAATTCTAATTAGATTTTCAAACAAAACAAGGTAGCCTAGGACTCATCTCATATAGCCTCAAACTTCCAGTGAATATTATATTTCTATCTTGAATAGTTTTCTTACAAAATAGATGTTTGAATTTTTTGATCAGGAATTACCCCAGGTCACCCTATTATATATTTTCTGCCTGTACTTTTTTTTTTTTATTATTAATTTTTTGGCTTATGTTTTTTCTATTTCTGGATTTTACTCAAGTTGTACTTAACACTAGGTTGCATAAAGAAAGTCTTTTTTAACTGCTTTTTCATTTGCAAAAAATGTACAAATAATAATGCATAATTTGATATTTTCTTTCCAAGTTGAAGTACATTTTTTATTGTTAATATTTACTAATTACTTGTTATATAACTGTAAATAATATAAAAAATATTAAAAATTAATTAAACAAATTTATTTATACATTAGTTATTCTTTCACAATGCAGTCATTTTGACTGCTTTTGGGCATACTAAGTTTCAGTCTTTCTAGTGTTAAGTGTGTAGCAGCAAGCAAATACAGAAATTATTTATTTAGTAAATTTTTTAAACTTTAAGTATTTTTATATACCTCTTAGATCATTCTAAATGTTTTTATGCAGTAAATTTCTATTTACTTAACAACTTACAGTATAAGCTCATTACAAGAGTATTTTTGACTAAATAAATATAGTATTGTGGAGGAACTTGTTATTTTTACAGGCTACATATTTTAGGAGCACAATAAGTTTTTTGTTTTAATTTTAATGTTATATATGTATTTCTTAAAAATATATGTATATTTTCATATATCGCGTAGCTTTCACTTAGCCATCATAGGGAAAAATACTAATGTGAAGAAAAAAAAAGAGAAAATCAAATGTTTTGTTTAAGAATTAAACATGCGTAAGACTCGAGAGTTGAAAAGTTTTCAAACCTAAATTATGAAAGCATTTGATTTGTTAATGTGATTGATGTGTTTGGTTATTCTTGACTCATTATCAGGTTTTCGCATGAATGTAACGAAATTAGATTTTAATGCTATGTTTCTTACTCCTAGTAGATTAGAGAGCTTTTTTTCAGAAAGGAAGTGCTTTCAGTAATCACCATCAATTTGAAAAATGAGGTTCTATTGAAAATTTAGCAATAACCATTCTTACATTAGTGAAAAGGAATAAGTATACAAAATCAACAGTAACTTTTCTTCTCACAAAAGATGGGGAAAATTATATATATATATATTTTTTTTTTCAGTATTTGAAAATTGATAATAAAGGAGAAAAAAATATTGAAATTTAAAATAAAATTTACAGGGATTATCGCAATATTGAGGAGAAAAATTCTTGCAATATTGAAGAGAAGATAACATTAATTCATATGCAAATTTTCCAGGCCAATGAAATAACATTGTAGTTAAGGGTATTACTTTTCTATTTTTCGGGCACTTTTTTTAGCAATCAAATTAACCTTAACTTTTATTTTTTAAAAAAAAAATTTTTTTTTGATTTTTTTTCAACCTTTGAAATTTGTTAAAAAATTTAAATAAGGATAAAAAAAAATTTCTTGCTGCTTCTCAAATAGCTAAATATTTATTCTGTATCAATAACCATATTAAAAGTATTGTTAAAAAGACAAGATCAGTTAAAGATAAACAAACTTTGGAAAGAAAAATAAACTTTGAATATTATTAGTGTTTTAAAAGAGTGTCATTCAACTTAAAAGAAACATTGTTGAATGAACTTGACATTAATCATCCTTAATTATTTTCTATTTTTTTTTTTTTTTTATCAAATAATGATGTTTTGATGTTTATAAAATAATGTTTATATACCTTAAAGATTTATTATCTGGAAAAATCTTTTATTTTCCAAAGTTTTTTTTTTTCCTTTCCAAAGTTCTGACTATTCCAGATATGGGGCTTTCAACTGTAAAATTACTCTGATCTTTTATTTATTTTTTTATTAAATAACTTGTGCATAATTCATTCTTTTATTTTAGATACGTCGTGTGCCCGTACCAGATACAAGATTTGATTACCTTTGTGAATATTACCAACCCTTGAGGTGAGTTTTAAATAAACCTATTGTGTCAAGAATTGATCTCTAAATGAAGAAAAAATATCATTGAATTAATAATTTTATTGCACATATAGCATGGAAATTTAATCATTGATATTGATTATGATCATAGTTACTTTTTTTTAAAGCACAATAAATTAAAATAAAAAGTAAAATTTGTCTGCAGTTTAATAACAATATAGACCAAGTTTGCAAAATATGAGCATTTTAATTTCAACTTACTTTTTCTTCTGGATTTATAATTAATTATTCAAAAATATAAACCATGTGCTATTCTTTTCTTTTTTTATTATTATTATTTACTTTTTCTTTATATGTGTTTCAAATTTGTCAAAAAAAGTTAGGATTTTTTCTTTGTAATTTATATATTTTGTCACAGTTTATTAAAAAGTTTTTACAAATTTTTTTTTTTAATTTTCTTGTGCAATTTTTAAATTATGGGCCCACGTGTTACCCATTCATTCAAGAGTTAAATTTTTCCTTGATGTTGTGCCATCATATTCTATGTTTTTGTGTTATATGTGTAAAGAAAGTTTTCAACACCCAAAAAAATTTCTAACACATCAAAATCTTTGCCATTACATAAATATTAAATACAGTTGAACACAGATAATTTCTTTTTTGAATTTGTATTACTAACAGGAAAAAAATTATAAAAGTATTGCATCACGTGTGAAGTTACTTATGTATTATATATGGACAGTACCATAATAGATTATCTTCTTTGAGCTCTTTATTACATTACAAAATATTTTATGTGCACTTTCAATTTATTTCTTGTTTTAATTTCAAGTCATATGTGTTCTTTCATTATTTTTATTTCTTCCTTTAAATATTGACACTTATATTTAAGATGTTTTTTAGTCAAGGGATGTTTTATAATCAAGTTGATCAGTTTTTGCCTTTATTGTTAATTGTTTATTTTTGTGATTAATTTTAAATTTAAAACTATTGAAATAATTTATGTTCTTATTTTCCCAGATCAATGTTTTCTTTGAAATAGGTTCAATAATTAATTAATGTTTTATCTATTTTTTCCCCCAGCAAAGTACCAGCTTTTTTAAATGTGGTAGATATTGCAGGACTTGTTAAAGGAGCAAACGAAGGTCAAGGCTTAGGCAATGCTTTCTTGTCGCACATCAAAGCCTGTGATGCCATTTTTCATTTGTGTCGTAAGTTTCGTGCCTTTTTAACTTCAAAGCTTGTTATGAAAACACTATTGTGATCTCGTTTTAATATACACTTGTCAGCACATATATAAAAAATATGGTGATGATGACTTCCGGGACATGCAATTTTTCATCACAAAAGGAAAAACAATCACGATATGGTTAATGGCATAGTTATAGATGTGCTTACTAATAGGTTGATAAAAAATTAAAAATTAGAGGATTTATTGTGTGCTGTCTATATTATGATTGTCTATCATTTTTTTTCCTCCCTCCCCCTATGTTATAGATTTTAGATTGTCTTTTTAAGTGTAAATTTCTATTTTTTTATTCAAGATTTAAAGTGTTTTTATCTTTAACTATTATTCATTGTTTTTAATTTTCATTTCTTAATTTTTATTTTTGAAGGGCTTTTTCAGATTAATTTCTTTGCAGTTCATAAATTTCAAGCTTTTGTTTTTGATAATAAATAGTCCTTAAGTAGTCTCAGGGATGCTACGCCTGCGCCATTTGCGACAAACTGAGACAAAACGGCTTAACTGCGCCATTTTGCGACATTCAGCTCAGTTTCTGCCAAAGCTGCGCTATTCTGAGACAAAACGTCCAAAATTTGACAAACCTGAATTCAGTTTCAAATATTAATCCGCATCGCCGTGAGTCATTGCATTTTGCCGTTCACGCCTCCTAAATACGTCCTTTAAATGTCAGAAATTCCGTTTGGCAAATCAGCTATTGGAATGCATATAGAATATGCGTTTCGTGTCGACAATTGGATTACGTACAGCAGTGAGTAGCAATCAGTATCGTATGCACGTGATCTTGTAAGAAAATAGGGTATTCTTCCCTTATACTATTGGTTATTATCTTGCTTTTTTTTCTTAGGAAACTGTACAGTGCACATAATTATTCAGGGATGAAAGACTTCCTCAAAAAAGCGGAAATCCGCTTTTTTCTCCCAATTTTTAAAATTTCCGAACATGTTCCAGAAACTAAAATTTTTAGGGAGTCCAATTAGAGAAACCCAAGCCAAGATAGTCGGATTACCGCGGCTTCTGCTATAGAGTAGAAAGGAGTCTAAGCGTTTCGTTTCGACCACCGATATTTCATTTTTTTTTTTTTGTTTGGCTGATTTTCGGAATTTTAAATATTAAGAACTGCGCTGGAATATGCTAAAATCGCAATTTTTAATCAGACGATTTGAATATCAATCATCGATTTTCGTATTTAACTGATTTAAAACTTACGTGTTGCGATTTTTTTACGCTATTTAAAAATCGTACTAGCAATTCCTATTCACTCAATTTAAAAATTCAATATCGCGATCTGTATTCTCGCGAGTTTAAAATCCAACGTCGCGATTCGTATTCACGCATTTTTAAATCCAATATTACGATTCGTTATCACGCAGTTGTAATATCAGACCTCGTTTTTCGTATTTGTACGCTATTTAAAAATTACTCATTGCGATTCGTATTCACGTGATCTAAAANAAGTGCATTCATAATCACATTTTATGATTGTATATTTAGCTATACAAATTAAAAGAACATAGTCAACTAACTAATCTTGTGAATGCAAGAAAGTACAATCTACTAGTCAATGCCAATAAACTAAAAAGTTTACTTTTATACTTAATAAAGGATGCAAGTCATTTTAGAAAGAAAATTATATTTATATGTGTCTTTTTAAATTGTTTATAATAGTTTTTAAATATTTCTGTTTTGATATAAAAATGTATATATGCTAATTTTTGGCTATTAAGTGCTCCCTAAAATTTTCTTGAAAAATTCCTACCTTAAATATTTCAAAATTTCACTGCACCTCCTGAATTCTGTCAAAGAGTGATTTTTTTTCTTGTGTTATTTACATTTTTTTTTAAAACTCTCATTATTTAATTACTGAATTTCTCTTTTAATTATTGAAATCTGCAGACCTTCCATTGTAACTGAATAGTTATATATTTTGAGATGAAATTTGAGCTCAAAATAAAATGGGTATTTTCCCTTTTGAATTACCAAAACTAAATAGATATTTCGTTTTAGAAAGGTTACACCATTATATTTTATAAAATAAGAAAGTTAAAATTTACTTTGTAAAATTCTGGAACAGGTACTATTCATTGGCATAAATGATAAATGCAATATATATGAAAACAACAGAGTCCACCAAACAATTTTGTGGACTCTTATGATCAATCATATGCAGGTTTTTTAAAATCCTAGCAATAGTGAATGTATGTATAATTGTAGTACTCCTAGTATGCTATTAATGGTTTTATGGATCCTGAAAATTATCTTTATATTGTTATCAAACTGATTAATAGTCATTTTAGCTGAGATAAACTGAGTCAAAAAATAATTTTATCTGAGACAAACTGAGCCAAAAAGAGATTTTAACTGAGACGTAATGCAATTTCTGGTGAGGCAATTTGATATTTTGCGAATAGCACCCCTGTAGTCTTTATTCGTAGTTTCTCTCTCTATTTTATTTAAACTTTTGAAATATTCTTTTGCTGATAAAATAACTAATGGTTATTTACGTAATATTTTTAAAATAAAATATGTTTTTTAGAGAACTTTTTTTTCTTCTTTTTTAACTTTTGTATTCTCTTTTTTTCACGTCTGTGTTTTTTTTTTAAGTAGTGCAGTTACATACATCTATTCAGCTTTTAATGATACTTGTTGTATCCTATGCTTAACTAAATGTTATTTTAAGTGATATCATGATTACTTTGACAATACCATCGCTTTGCTCGATAGACTTTCTCACAGTTAATTGTTACTGATTTACTCGCCTTTTAAATCCCGATATTTTCATGTGATATTATTAAGAAATGAGAAATTTGAATTTTAAATTTGAGTAATTACTTTTTGATGCACTTGATTTATGTTAAATCCATGTGGTATTTCGATCAGTTAATTTTTATTTTGGCAGTTATTGCTGTTGATTTTCTCATAATTTTTTTGGCGGTTATTATTGCTAATTTTCGCATATTTTTTTAACATCTCGATATTTTTTAAACGACATTATTCATTTTGTGAGGTGAATCTCGAAATGTACATTTACCCTTTTGTATGTCATTTACCCTTTTTCGACGCGTCCGATTTGTGTGTCTTCTTCATGAATACACGTGGTTTTATCAACAATCCTTTTTTAGTTATTGCTGCAGATTTCATGTTTTTTTTTATATATTTATTTATTTTTTTGATGTAATGACAACTCGCAAAGTGAGAAAAAAGAGAAATGTGTCATTTTTTTTCTATGTATATATTTTATTTGTTGATGAAAAAAAATATTAAACAAAAAATCTTTTCTTTAAAAAAAATTTTTTTTTTTTTTTAATTTTATAAATGTTACTTTTTTTGCATAAAAATGACAGTCTTTTATTTCTCATCTATGTTCAAAAAGAAAAAGAGAAAAAAACTAAGTACTAAAAAAACTGAATATTGGGAGAAAATTGTGAATTTGGTTCAGCAATGAATCAGTCTTCAATGATGAGTCAATCAATGAACAGTTCTTCAAATAATTTCAAAATTGAGTTCTTCTAGACTCCTTACTGTAAATCATTGAATGAAACTACATTTGATTTAATTTAATTTCTCTAGATATTCTTTTTTTTTAAAAAGTATTGTTTATTTAAAAAAATATGTAATGAATAGTCTAAAAAAATACTATTATTTAAGCGATTTTTTAAATTTAAATCTGTTTTAGTATTTCATATTTCGTTTTAAAAAATAGTTTTTTCCACTTGGGTTGGAAAAAACTTATTTCTTCCAGGGTGGTTTTTTTCCACTATGGAAGAAACTTGCCATCCCTTCAGCTAACCTTTTACACATACAAGGGTTCGTGTTTTTCATTTATTTATTTATTTTAAATTTTCAAAGATAATTCAAGAACTTTTATAATTAGTTGCATTTTATGAACTTAACTATGATAGAAATATTATAAAAAATCATAATATATTTGTAACTATATTACTGCGTTAAAAATTGTTTTGTAGCATTAAATTGGTTCATGCAAATGGACAATTCAAAATTATTGAAAATGTAATTGAAATTTATCATTATCAACTACTGAGCAAGCTAAAATGAAAAAACTCTCAAAATTTATTTCACACATCTTTTTTAAAAAAAACTATTCGAATGACGAAACAAATTATGTCACCTTAGACATTAACTTCAGGTTGGCAAATATTTAAACATAAAATAATTTAACTTAGCACTTACAAATGAATCACAGTGTAAGAAAAAGCATTTTGAGTTTATCTTTAAATATTTTTTTTTTTACTGTTATATTTTATTTTTAAAATTTGGTGTAAAAATCAAGAAAATTTTTTATCGTCATCAAGCTCTTTGGGAAAAAACTCATTCACTGTAGCTAAATTTGATAAATGCAAAAGCATATTAAAATGAAAGTTAAGAATCCAAATTCATAAACAGTGGTAAGAAAAAATAAAATATGTTCAATCAGAAAAAGTACATTTTGTAGCTAAAAATATCTGCTCAAGAAAAATTAAAAGGTTTATCACTCAAAACATTAAGTCTAGACAATTGTACCTGACAAAAGTTAAGATGTTTCATTTTTTTTTATTTAGTGCACAGTTCTTTTTACTTTTATATTAAGAAGATAATATTTATATTTATAGGTAATTTTGTTGCTAAAATGTTAATTTTATTTTTTTTAATTCGCTTTAAAATTAAATAAATAAATAAAAAATACTTTTTGGAGTTAAATAATTTATTTATTAAAACATGAATGAAAAAAAAAAAGAATTTTTTATATTTTTTAAAGTATTTATTTTTTTGCTGTAGGGTGTTTTGAGGATGAAGATGTTTCCCATGTTGAAGGTGACATTAATCCAGTTAGGGACATTGATATTATCAATGAAGAATTAAGGCTCAAAGATGAAGAATATCTTCTAGGTATTGTTGATAAACTTGAAAGGACAGTCCTGCGAGGAAGTGATAAAAAATCAAAACCAGAATATGTAAGAAAATAATACTTTTCAGTGCATTTGAAAACTTTGCATGTTGTAGTATTTAAAGTTACATCCTAAGCATATAGTAGAAATTTCTGTGCATATTTAGGATATTAGGATACCTAGCTTTAAAATAATCTGATGATGAATTTCTTATACTAGTTGCCAAAAAACTTATGCTGATAAAGCGCTTCGTACAATCTTAGTGGCACTCTTACCAAGCAAGAAGCAATTTAGGAAGAGGCAGAGGTGATTTTAACTTTTGAGGAATGCGAATCTAGTTCTATCACTCCAGTATATATATTAAAATTTTTCATTACTGTATATATATGTATTGTATTTCAATTTTTCTTTACAGTATATTTTTAAATAAAGGTATATCCTTGTATAAGCCAAAGAGCATGCTTTTCATTTGAAAATTTCTTCAAAATTAAGAACTTGTATATAAGCTGACGTAAAAAAAAAAGTAAGGCATTCTATGCTCAGAATTAAAAATAATCTCTCTTGTAGTAATGGTAGATCTAGTGACGGTTGAACTTGTAATTATGAAATAAAAAAGTAATAGTATTCCTTTCAAATTGTCCTTTTTATGTGTTTTTATTTTTAGGTATTCCGTTTTTTACTTTTTTATATAGATTTCGTGATATTTAGTGATTATTGCTAATGCTCGACAAAAGGAGAAGTACTTCTTTAAGAGATGTCCTCCTGGAATTATTCATGTTAAGTAGATCCGATTACAAACCCTCCCCCTACTTTAGCTGTCATACTCATTACTCAGCGACCATGTCGTATGATTATGCGGCATGTAAAAGTTCCTTAAGATGTCTTGTTGGCTCTTGGTATTTCCAGAAAAATTAAATTCCTAGTGCACTTTAGCGTCCAAATAGAGTCTCGGTGCTGCCGTCTAGTGTGGCAGAAACTAGATGTCCAAATTAACATGGCCAACAGTATCTCACCCATTGTGGTGGTCCTGAAAGAGTGGATACCAATTCTGGAGAACGCACTAGGTCTGCTCATCGGGAAGACTGATTGTGCAGCTCATTGGAAATTAAAAAAGCTTTAGCTTTCAAAAAAATTTTAAAAATTGTCTTATATTCGGAAATTTATGGTAATTATTTTGATTTGTGTAATGTGCTCAATAAACTTTTTAAATAAATGCTCTTGGCACTAAAATCCGAAGTAAAATCAATTCTTTTGTAATTTCCAATGCATTTCTCATGTTTTAAGTCCACTACAAAACAAAAAAGAAATGTCCACTAACTTTGAAATAACTCTAAATGGTGCCACAAACTTTACGGAAAAATGAAATCCTTTGAAGTTTAGTATCGATAAATGCAGACAATGTCTTAAGTTTGTAGTGTTTAAATGATTATCTTAATTTATCTCCAGCTATGTTTTGAAGCTTTTATTTTTAGGATTCTTATTTTACTATTATAAAATGTGATGAATTTAATTTGATGTTTATTTGGATTAGGATATCTTGTGTAAAATAAAAGCCTTGTTAGTTGACGAAAAGAAACATATAAGGTTTGCTGACTGGAATGCTGCTGAGGTAAAGTTAATAAAAACTTTTATCTGATAACCATAAACTCTTTTTGTTTACCATTTTTTTACTATTACTTAGCATAGCACATAATCCTAGTAGCGAAGCAGACTTCTAAAAAATACCACGAAAAATTGCTTTCTGACTGTTCAGCTGTGATCAGTTTGCTTTATTGATTTAATAAAGTATTCAAAATAATACTGTATGAAATTTGATTATTTAAAATAATTTGCTAATAATCAATTAATACCTAATCAAACTAATTAAGAAGAAATTCATATGGGAATTATTTCTCACAACTTAGACATGCAATAAAACTTGTCTGGTCTTGTAACGGAAACTGTTTTTAATTTGGGCATGAAATTCGCAAAAATAAAATTTTATATATGTATCAAAAAGCATGTATTCAAATAAGTTGTCTTTGTGTTACACACTATAAGTCACATAACCTTGCTAGTGGTCAAAATTATTAAATTTGGTCACTGGTTAGGAAGACCAGTAACTAAAAAAATAATACTTTCTTTGTGTTTGAAAATGTTAAAACTGCTGAAACACAATCAAATGTCAATTAAAGAACTTAAGACTAGTGGGTTAGTCACATTCTTTCCTGGGTGACATTTTTAGACTCAACTAATCCTATTGTTTCCATGATTACGCTTTGCCAAATTTTCAATATTCTTTTTTGATAGCAGAACATCTTATGCCTCTATTAAAGTTTAAGTGTTTTACTTCAAAATTGCTTTTCTAAACAAGTTGAAAAATGTGCTTATGCCCATTGATTAATGTATTTATAACTTATGTATAAATACATTAATTCCTAGTAAATAGTGTAATATTTAATTAAATTTTTATTATTTTCAGATTGAAGTTCTAAACAAACACCTGTTTTTGACTTCGAAACCTATGATTTATTTAATCAACCTTTCAGAAAAAGATTATATTAGGAAGAAAAATAAATGGTAATGTATAGCTTGTTTTTCTGCCTTTTCTGAGTAAAATCAAAAAAATAATTTCTTTTGGCATAAAAAGGGACCAAATCATCTATTAAATCCTTTTATCTGTGTCATTCTTTATAACAAAAATATTAAGTATTAGATTTTTTAACCAAATTATCAATTTTCTGCCTTTTTATCAATCTTCTCTTTTATTATTATTACTTTCCTATATGATGTCCATTCTTTACACATTTTAATATTAATGGTACAGTACAGAACCCGTTATCCGGAAATCAAAAAACCGGAACGAATTTCGATAAATTTTCCTGCCATTTTTTGAAAAAAAAGTTTTTTTCCTCATAAGGTTTTAGGATTTTTCTTTCTATTTTGATATTTACCTTACCATCATTTTGGAAATAATCATTAGTGTATTACTTCATTGTTTTTTCTTTTTAAGATTATTTCCAGAAATTTTAAATTTTTTTTTTTTTTAGTTGGGTTTAACAATAAAAAAACGGCTTTTTGTAGTGAATCAGAAAACTGGAAAAATCAGTTATCTGGCATAGCGATGGTCCCGATCGTTCCGGATAATCGGTTCTCTACTGTATTATGCATATAAAATAAAATATGCTTAAATGAAGAGTTTATTGATGAGCTCAGTACTAATTAATGTGAAGTTTTTGACAGTGACACCTGCTGTCTGCTGTGAAAAAAATAATAATATTTTCGAAAAAATTTTAAAATTACCACTCTACCAAAATGTTTATCATGCACTTTTAAAACTTAATTACATTAATTCAAATGAAGCTTTAAAACCCTGAATTGATAAAGTTCAATTTTTTTAATGTGACTTTTTAAAGGATTATTATTGATTAATTATTTTTTTAAAAAGTTCCTATGTTCCAAGTTGAAAGTTCATATAGTAATTTTTAATATCTAAGACTTGTATAACATAAGTTTTTTTAAGTAGCAGTATAATCTTATGCAATTAAAAGTTTCTTAGGTGCCCTTATTCCAAGACAAATTGAACCTTTTTAAAATACAGATCGCTCTCTGTTTAACACACTTATTTAACAACTTTGAAGAGATCATGAAAGATCATCCTTAAACCTTATAAGGTCATTTTTTTTAGTAATGGTGTGTTAAAATATTTTTGAAGTTTATTCATGAAAATGAATTTGATTAGCTTATATTATCGATTTGATTTTCAAGGTCATTTCTTTGGTGAAAAGCTGAGTGGGATCTCCGAAATTAAGCACAAAAAAAAAATCTCTATTTATAAAATGTAACGTAATAGCATGTGATTAAATGAAATATAAGACACAACTGAAAAAAGATCCCCAGTCTCACACTAACATTTACTGCTACCCACATTTTTGCAAATAAAGCCTTTTTTTTTCCAAGCTAAGCTAGAAGATGAGAGAAATGTGAACAATTCATATCATTATTAATGGAATGCGCGATGATTTGTAACAATCAGTTTTGAAAAATTAGTTGCATTTGAACCTTGTTTCTTTAAACTCGCATGTAAAGTAGTTGTCAGGAATTAATATAAACTACTGTTTTTTTTTTTTTTTTTTTTTTTTTTTTTTTTTTTTTTTTTTTTTTTTTTGTATGGCACTGCTCTACTTACTACACTACTTTGTTTTTAAAAAGTAGAACACTATACTACAGAAAAAGGAGAGATTATAGTACTTTCACTACTTGTTACCACTGATAGTGTCTATCCCAAAATTATTTGAGTGTTAATCCTAAAACTTCTAACAATAATTTTAATATATACATGGTATCCGCGCACCTGGAAAGTCATGAATTTCAATATTGAACAAAATTTGTCATGGATTTAGGTCGCCGATATCTAATTTTTAAAATGGTATCCCCCGCCCCCTCAATTTCAGCATGTTCCAGATATCTGAATTCCTAACAAAATCACTACTCACAGTCCTATTTTATTAGAATATAAAATGTTTTTATCATGTTCTTTCAAAAAATAAAAGAAAAAACATCATTTCTAAAGCAAATTATCTTTTAAACTTCTGTGATTTAAGAATTTTTATTATTTATTTATTTTTTTATCAATTTAAATTTCAAGCTGAAGCAAGCCAATCATTGACGAATTTTTTTTTAATTTGGAAATGAGAGCAGACAGTATTTCTTTCCTTTCTGATGAACAAGAAAGGTATCTTTAGAGTATTATTCTGCATGGAAAAAAAAAATTGCTTTTTTTATTTCTTTTCCAGCTAATTTATTGCTTAACTCTTTCTTAACTCTGTTTTTTAAATTTAAAATCTATAAATATGAGGATGCAGAGTATAACAGTTCTGGTTATAATTATCATTTCAATGAATGTTATTATAATGCTTTTTTTAATTTATTGTTACGTTTTTGTCGGAGAAAATAGTAACTTCTTTAAGTCATGAAAAATTCTTGGAATTAGTCATGGAAAATCATGAAAAGTCATGAATTTGAAAATCTAAAATGTAGCAGATACCCTGTGTATGCTTTTTTCCATAGAAAAAATTAGATAATGTTTCTTCATTTTTTACCCATTGGCAAAATGGGATTTGATGACGAACTCACACTTTTCAACTACAATAATCAAGAGTAATAGTAAACAGTGCACATGTGTCGCCACTGCATGCATTGCTATGGTGACAGCTGCTGTTTGATAATTTTTTTAGAATTCTTTTTTTCATGTTTAATTTTGTTATGCAATAAGTTGGTGAGTTTATTTTTGAGATATGGGACCAGAGAGTTTTCATAAATATTTCTTGAGTTGTGAATAAAAGACAATTTCATCATTTGAACGATATTTTTGTTTTAATTAAGAATCGGAAATTCTAACCTAGGGATAAAAGGATCCATTGTCAACATAACCAATGACTTGCACAAGACTGTAGCAGGGTTGGCAGGTTTTTGACATGTGACAGTTTTTGACGGTTTAAACCATGGTTTAAACCGTCACGTCAAAAACCTCACCGTCAAAAATGTCTAAAATGTCAAAAACCTAGATTCATATGTGAAATTTAATTAATACATAAAATTCATAAATTTTTTATAAAGGATAGTGTTTCTAAATATGTTCTAGAAAAAATAAATTTTAAATTTTGAAGAAACACTTATATTTTGAATAGTAACCAAAATCTTGTACTTTTGAAAGCTCACATCTTTTGTAATATTATGTATTCATTTTCATGTGTTATTGAAAATCTGCAGTGATATTATTAAGAAATTTATTTATAACCAAATTTAGTGTATAGTATAGATTATACTAAAAATTAGACATTTTTAAAGATAAACATTAGCAGTTTTGTACATTAGACATCTT